AGGTGAGGTGAGGTGAGGTGAAATTGGGTTTAACGTCGCGCTGGAGAATATTTCGCTCATATGACGACGTGCATGCGTGTGTATATGTGTATGTGCGGCTGCTTGTACTAGCCCAGACTTAAGCCGGTTTTATAGTGCTAGCCCACTGAGATACCATGCCGCAGTGAAGCATGAATACCCCACTCAGACACATTATACTGACTCCGAGCCGACCAGTCCTTGTTGTACCCATTAATGCTGAGCGCCAGGCAGGGACCAACAAGTACCATATTTTAACGTCTTTTGGTATGACGCGGTCGGGGATCGAATCCGCGACCTTCCGCTCTCCGGGCGAACGCTCTAACCACTACACCACTAAGGCGGTCGAATAACTGAGGAAACTGGGTGTGATCAGTATTATGACAGCGACGATTACGACAAATGCCGATCGCTTCTTGACCAGAAAGATATTTCCGTGACTTGTTGTACCCCTCTGGGTGAGTCAGTCGGTTATTCTTATCTACTGTTAACCCAGCCATTGTATCCATCCAATCACCATTCATCCTCATTATAGATATTGAGAACACGGAGCGTAATGTGCCAGTAAATCATAACATTCCGCCTTCTATCACGTAAATCTAACGACAAACAGCATGTTCATCATAATCGCAAATATCTTCTAAAAGCATATTTCATATTTCATTGTACTTTTTCGACTACATCTTGAACATGCGTTTAACAATCGCCATCAAATTTTGGTGATATGTGGTGTGCGCTCAAGTAAAAACGTATCATTCACCATCGGTGGCCCCATCACAGACACATGCGCAGACAAGTCAATTAAAGTAAAAAACTGGTATTGCATGATTTGACTGATGGTGCGTTGTTGATAATTCTACTGGTTAGCCTGCTCCAGACAAAATGTTTACTGTTGTTGTGATATCTTTAGAACATATTTTACTGAGATATTAACACTCACTCACTAAACCACTAGACCCCTGAAAGTCCGGGTTAGAATGAATCTTCAGTAACCCATGTTTGTCGTAAGAGGCGACTAACGGGATCGGGTGGTCAGGCTGGCTGACTTGGTTGACCCATGTCATCGGTTCCCAATTATGCAGATCGATGCTCATGCTGTTGATCACTAGATTGTCTAGTCCCGACTCGATTATTTACAGACCGCCGCCATATAGCTGGAATATTGCTGAGTGCGGCGTAAAACTAAAATCACACACTCACTAAACCACTCACTCTACATTCAAAGTACACCGACACATCTATAACTACATGTCTCGGATTTTTCTGAACAGTTGGGACTAGTACTGACCAGTTCGGGTTAAACAGTTGATCGCTTCAGCATAAGTCGTAATCCGGTACCATACATTCGTGGGTACCATACACAGGTCTTACGGGTATCTCACACAAGTACAACACCAGGATGTAGCCATATTGCTATACCATACCTGACTACTATAGGCGGGTACTATATACTAGTAGCATACACAGGTACCATATTTGGAACACCATATCCGGGTACCATACACGATATCATACAAGAGTACCATACACGCGCATCGTGAACGGGTACCATCACTATCATAAAAGGGTCCCCTATGTGGGCCCTGGCTCGGGTACCATACACCCAAACATTACACCACATAACCCGTGACGACGTGACTGGACGAGAGTAATATATACCAGTCAACAAAATCCAAGTTATATTACAGTCAGTTTATTGACAACAATAAACAGTGATCAATATAATGAGCACGCACCTGTCGTCACATCCTGCACCCACCCGATCCCCGTTTTAGTTCACTCTGACAAGTAAGTCAACCCTCTTCACCACCCTAACGTTAATAGGTGTACTTCCCTGCGTAGATTCTATCACACAACATAATGACATTGTCAAGTCCCTCCCGCTAAGGGCGTTATATGATATGCATTGTGTCTGGGCTGGCCGCGGGCAGGTCTTTAATATATCTGATTAAAACACAAACACGAATAGAATTGGAATATACAACAGTCACGCATGTACATTGTTCGTCACAGTGGGCCGAGGCGTGCCCACAAATATGTACACGACGACCGTGATGGTGTTGACGTCGTTAATGACGTTGTTTTGAAATGTTTTGTTTGACGGACAAATATATTTACACCACTGCATACATACTTGGTCATTTATACAGGCAGGCTTTGACCTGATATAGCTGAATAAATGAATAACAATCATGTATCTCCAAACATGTAGGTTTTATCATTATTAAACATAATACGCATAGTGTTTCTGATATATGCTTGACACATGATCAGTGAAATACGACATCGTCTACAGAATAACAGTATGTCAATCTGAACAATATATCTGTGAAGTTACATCTTACCATTGTTACCTATCAATACTTTAATAATGTACAATACCCATAAATCTACAGCTCCCATCATCCTCAGATATCTAAGGAATGTTACATAGTATCTAATACGACACTAGCCTAACAATATACCCTCCAGCCTGTCCACTAACCCTATGAAGTTTACTGTCCTGGGATGTTTATAGAATTTACTATATTTTAATACTCTTTTTGTAAATTTTTAACACTGTTGGGCGAATATGAAAAGTACAATACCAGGCGCGTAGCAAGCCAATTTGATCGTGTAAGTCCGATAGGTTGCAAATCTTCATATTTAAATAGCACTGAGGGCTTGTCCAACCTTTCTAACATTCATGTGCAAGCCCGGGCCTTTTTTCAGAATGGTTGCTACGCCCTTGAATACATTATATTTTATCAAACAGATCACTATACGGCCAGCATGTGCCCAATCTGCTTTACCTATCATACTGTACATAACTTGCTCTATAACTGTGTTAACACCGACAAACCGTAAATATTGTAAATAAAGAAGTTGTATATCGTCCATAGACCTATCCCCGTTGTTTATTAAAATGTACTTGTCAGCTAGTACAGATTATTACCAAACTCCAAAGAATTACTGGTTCTAGTAGTGAATTATACGAATACATATTTACTAATCTTCTTCTAAAATCTTATAAAAATGCAATAGTACATTTACTGAGCTTGTAGTAAGTTTTACTACACTAAAATTGGATCGTTTCAATGTCGTTCTGCGCTCCCCGTTTGGCAGCAAATGAATACAATGTCTTAAAAGCAAGTAAATAACAAATGACGCTAACATTACAAAAAGACATGTGATATACAAGAGTTTGGGTATCATTTCAAAATTATTTACGTAATATTTTTAACAGTTATCGACAGTTAAATAAAATAGCTACATTTGTTTATAAAAGCGTCATTCTTCATTGACGCTTCAAAGTTATTAAATAACAGACCAACGCGGATGTAGCCAGGTCTTGGCGCCTAATCTGAAATATGATACCTCTTCTCTCCACCGTTGCTGGGAGAAATCTACGAGACAGGTTAATAACTTCTGTCTGTTACTGGAAATAAGTGTAGTTCATTAGACCTTTTCTAAAGTGAAATTCTCAGATATTTACCAATTCGGTGAGAACCAGAAGCACAGATATATTAGCTCACAAGCCTAGAAACATATTAGGTCGATTCTGAGTCTGGACCCGCGACCACAGGTTCCTGTCACACCAAAGGGTGACAACTCCATTTACCTAAACATGTATGCTACCATTCCAGCACATATCAGTGAGTCAGATAATTCCGAGGGATATGTCCTACACAATCATTCATCAGTATTCGGACATTTCCGTGATCTGCCGGAGTAGAACGAGTGATCAGAAATGCCAGTACGATATGTCCAACTGTGTCTCTAACATGTCAACGGGACCGGAAATATTCCGTACTTCCGGTATGTGGCGGCAACAACTTCCGGCACGTACCGCCTACATGAAGTGCACACAAACAGCAGCTGGAGCATTGTTGCCACAATGATGAAAGTACATTAATTATTCCCAAATGCCAGAAACCGTAAACGGCGGCCAGAAGACGAGATGGGTTCCTTCCGTGCCAGGGTCTCATAAAGTGATCGGTTCTGAATACACCATGTTGGCTTTCTGTCGCCCACTGACGGCCATCGTTAATAAACATGACAGTCACTGACTTACGCGCACTTCTGCCCGAAAGATCGCCAGTAATCGAAACCATACTCATACGACTTGCATGCACTTGAACGGATCACCATTGCTACAGAACGGAAGGGTTGGACCTGCATGCATTGGAGTCGCAAACATCGCATTAATATTAAACAGACGTACGACAATTCTGTACTGGAGTTAAACAGATTGTCAATGAAATAAAACAGACACCTGTAACAGTGACACCTAGGGCGGGTTCGAGTGAGTGAGTTTAGTTTCAAGCCGAAATATTCCAGCAATATCACGGCGGGGAACACCCGAATCAGGGGTGGAAATAACTTTAAAATTGCTAGTGTACGATCCGGTACAGTGGCACAAGTAAAATCACTTGCCCTGATAATTTTTCCACTATACCGGCCGTTTTTTTGGTGACTTTTTAAATAAACAACATAATTAACGTTGGAAAGTAAACTGGACACCGGTACAGTGTTGTATACAAATTTGATTGCCCAACAGAAAAAAAACACTGGACTCGGACGTCGGGCAATGGGTTATTTCCACCACTGCCGAAATGGGCTTCACGCATTGTACCCACGTGGGGAATCGAACCCAGGTCTTCAACGTGGAGAGCGAACGCTTTAACCACTTGGCTAACCTACCGTCCCCGGGTTGGTTGGACTGATACCCATTGAAGCCAGAAACCCACCTACAAGTGTGTCGTTCAGAAAGACATTGAAGAGAGAGGCTCACAAACATGTTTATGTTGTTCAGTTGCCATGAAGACGGCCACACACCTACAGGTTGGTTATACAGACAGGCATTTGTCTATTGCGAGACTATTGTAAAAATAGCGAAAACATGGTGCGGAGCGAACCGAAATAAGAAAATCTGAAAATTGAGTCAGGACAAGTATTAAATCTATGTGAAACAATATATTTCAGGGGGTGGTTGTTCTTACCTCGATGTCTGCTAGCACAGAGTCCGTAACCAGGCCCTGCTCCTTGAGGAGAGTCGCAAGTTGGGGCGTCCAGATGATGTTTCTGACCAGCAGTGACCTGCCACAGGCCAGGACCTCCTTCTGTCGACTGTTCATGTTCAGATCAAGTCAAGTAAGACCTCCGAGGTTCAGAGAATCACAGCCATATTGAAGCGGCCGTGAAGTGCGCCTCCTCAGGGTTGAACACCTCTTCCTCACAAGTGAAATGACTTTTCACTTTTGAAAATAATCCCGTCCTGTCTCTTAAAAGAGGTCATTTCCAATTTGAAAGTTCTTAGAGATTATCTGTACCCTTGATAAATGTCAATGGTTCCTTGAGAACGGGGTGTGGTCTCTGTATTTGTTCCAAAGGTTCCTGGAATTGCAAGAAAATTACTTTCAGAAGGAATGGAGTAGTATTGTTAAGTGAGTGAGTGGGTATGGTTTTAAGCCACTTTTAGCAATATTCCAGCAATATCACGGCGGGGTACACTAGAAATGGGCTTCACACATTGTGCCCATGTGGGTATTGTTAAGGAAACAGTAAGCTCGGACCAACTGGCTAAATTGTGTTCAGTAACTCGAAACCCATTTCCATTAATCTGCTTACCCAGAAACACTTCGGCGTGACGAGCGAGCGCTTTAACCACTAGGCTTCCCCACCGTCTCATATGATCGAACATTACATCAATTGATTTTGTTGTTATTGGTTTTTGTTTTGTTTTCATCACCGCATTATTTATTCTATGTGAAAATGACGGCTGCCTGTATGTAGTCGAGTCTTGACCAGACAATCCAGTGATTGATAATATACTCATGCCAATAATGGTTGTCACCCCCCTCCCCACCCCAACCCCACACCACACCCCCTCTCCAATTAAAAAATTGAAGGGGGTGACAACCATTATTGGCATGAGTATATGATAAAGGGCGTGAATGTCACGTGATTATTCAAGTCACTGAGTCTGGCTACAAGATACGTTAATGCCAATTCAGCGCACACATAATGGTTTCAGTTCGAAGATTGTTGTCTAATTATAATTCATATAACAAAAGCCCTAATAGGGGACCGAAGGACAAAAGCACAATTTGCTTCAGAAAAAAAAAGACAGATCATATGTTATCACAGGGCATTATTTACAACGTGTAAATCGGGGCTGGACGTCTCTGTTTAATGGAGTCTTCCGTGCCCAGTAGGACGTTGTTGAGTGTTGTAAAATACCGGATTCACCAATATTCCATCCATGTAACGCCGTCTTGACATAACTGGGTCCGGACCTCTCAATTCGCAGACTGAACCACACAAACGGGCTGCTGAAGAACAATTCTAACCAGGATCTTCACGGGGAATGAGGCCAAAAAGATCTCACCCCAATCCCATTTTCGTGGGAAATGGGCCCTACGCAATTCTGATACGATGACATGTCAACCCAGTCAGCGAGCCTGACCACCCGATCCCGTTAGTCGCCTCTTACGACAAGCATGGGTTACTGAAGATCAATTCTAATCCGAATCTTCGTTGTTTTTAGTAGACCTACTTGAATATATGCAGGTATGAAAGGGATATTATTTTATCTTTTCTTGACACTAAATATCTATTCTCATATGTAATATAAGTGTAGTTTTGGTATAATATATTTAATTGTTCCTATCAAAATGTGTAAATCTTATTGTGTTCCGAGGTCCCTTAAGTGATTTATGTCTGGCCCACGCACCTGCAGCCAGGAGCACCTTGTTAGTCCTGACCTCAGTTATACACGCCCCTTTCCTTTCCGGGCAGCGTCAGGTGAGTGAACATTATCATTTTACTCAAAACGTTTTAGTTGAGTTCGATACTCGCGGACAGGCAGTAGCTATGGTAATTAAATCAATTCAAACGACGTGATATCATCTCCTTGATATCTGAGCCGAACAAAGGCTATTACTGGTAATCATTGCGCAACTACAGACACCTAAGTGTCATGAGAGAAGGCTTCAAGGCCCCGCGAGAGGAGTCTGACGTGTTTACTGCTTCACGTAATGGGAACATTATTTACTGGAATTTCAAAAGGACAATATGGCCACTCGCTCGTATGGAAACCTGTTAGGGCCATTTGCTATTTTCATGTTTAGTATATTTATATTGTGTACGTGTTTTATCCAATTATAGAACGGTGACAAGAAGTAAACAAGTGGTTTCCCTTGCTAATGTTGAATATGTTTGTTTGTTGTTTACCGCTGCATTCAATATCTAAGCTGTATGGAGGCGGTCTGCAAGAGTCTTGACCAGACAATCCAGTGATCAACACCATGAACATCTATCTACGGAACTCGGAACCAAGTCAGCGAGCCTGACCATCCGATCCCGTTAGTCGACTCTTACGACAAGCATGGGCTGCTGAAGACCAATTCTAACCCGGACCTTCACGAGCCTATTGTTGAATAGCCTACCCTGCCAATCAAAGAGACATTCTCCAATTGGGAAAACACGGCCTTGTTTAATTACACCAAAAAACACAGGCACTTGAAATTTCAATATTTATACCATGTGAAGTATTTTTATACTTTAAGCTGCCAACTTATTATCTTAAAATTTCATTATCACTCTCTAACTTTAATGCGTATATGTCCTATTTCATCCCACGATCTTGAAACTTCAACTTATCATAAAATTGAACAATTCTAACATCTTGAATTATCTACTGAGTATGTGGAAATTTTAAAAAATTTAGAAAGGCAAATGGCCCTTAATGACTCCTGTACGTTCGACCTGTGCATCTGAAAGCCTTGTCAATCGTTACACCTGGATTTGATCCTAATCTGACCACTTAACGCTTGTCCACAGATCGGTATCAACACTCAGCCTCGGGCCACCCTTCCCAGTGTCGAGATACAGGATATATACTCTCTTGTCCCAAGCCCAAACAATTATTTATCCAACAAATATGTTTGTCTCATGCCATCGGTAGGATGGGTCACTTTATGTCGGCCTCTGACTGATCTGCGTCGGTCGCTAGGTTCACTGCTACAGGTGAAACCTGACGCCTTACTACCAGGATAGACCTGTTTCAGTGGCAACTAACGGGATGAGGTATTCAGGCCCGCTGATGTGGTCCATGCATATCACTGTAGCCCGTAGATCAATGCTCGAGATGTCAATCACAGGATTGTCTGGTCCATTCAGCTGGAATATGGTCCAGTGCGGAGTGAAACTTGAAACATGCTGCTACTATTACTTCTGCTATTATTACTACCGCTGCTACAATTACTACTACTACTACTACTACTACTACTACTACTACTACTACTACTACTGGGCGGTGGGGTAGCCTAGTGGTTAAAGCGTTCGCTCGACACGCCGAAGACCAGGGTTCGATTCCCCGCATGGGTACAATGTGTGAAGCCAATTTCTGCTGCTGCCCCGTGATATTAAGGGAATATTGCTAAAAGCGGCGTAAAACTATACTCACTCACTCCTCTACTGCTGCTACAACTATTGATGTCCATTTAATTAAGCTTACCTTTGAATTTATATTTTCCTCTTAATTCGATATATTATTATTATTGTTAAATGTATAAAGGATACATTGTTGTCAACCAACAAACCCACAAACAACCAAATCAAACCAACCAAACAGTATACCTACCTCCTGCGCAAACGTCACGCGGTAATGTTGCACCGGATCACCTAATATCCTATAACGAGTGTCGGCGGTCAGTCCAGAGGTCAGTGACCAACGGTGTCCGTAATGTTATGTATCTGTGTATCAGCATGGTAGTACGATTACTTGTCTAGAATGGAGTCCTTTAACCGTGTAAGTAGACTGTAGGTGTTAGTGCATGACTATATTAAAATGTCCTGCAGATCTTATATTGTCAAATAATGGGGCGGTGGGGTAGCCTAATGGTTAAAGCGTTGGCTCGTCACGCCGAAGACCCTGGTTCGAATCCCCATTTCTGGTGTCCCCCGCCGTGATGTTGCTGGAATATTGCTAAAAGCGGCGTAAAAAACAAAACTCAGTCAGTCAGTCAGTCAGTCAAATAATGTAATTTGACTACAAGCACTGCCAACTTATTATATCTGAATCTGAAGAAGATATAATGACATATGCTCTGAGAAAACATTGTCCTGCCATGATTTTGTGGCTTGACATGGTCTTGCCAAAAGGGCACCATATGCATGTGCCTTATCATATGTATATGTAGTAGAGTCAAAATAGTGGAAAACATCACTGAACCTAAAAATAATTGGTTTTGTGTACATAAAATACATAAAAAGTCCTCTCTTGGATGTTGATGCAAAGGGGCTTTTTTTTGGGGGGGGGGGGGGCAAAACTATGAAATAAGGTATTTAAATCATTTCTGTACAAACTGTTTTTGAGTTTTGTAACATTTTTACTGTACTAATAGGCATGATGCAACTCTGCACCTTGCCAAATTAGGGGAGATAACTCATATTGTAATACCGCACCTTGGAAACCACTAAATATAATTATCTGGAAAAGCATGATGTGTGGGCTGTCACTATTTTACCCCGACCCGTCCAGATACTGAAATACACAATACTCTTACAACATTAAAAACATTCTATCAGCGTGAAATACTAACACTGCTATTCCGCTTCTTTACAAGACCGCCTCCGTGGTGTAGTGGTTAGAGCGTCCGCCCGGAGAGCGGAAGGTCGCGGGTTCGATCCCCGACCGCGTCATACCAAAAGACGCTAAAATATGGTACTTGTTGGTCCCTGCCTGGCGCTCGGCATTAATGGGTACAACAAGGACTGGTCGGCTCGGAGTCAGTATAATGTGTCTGAGTGGGGTATTCATGCTTCACTGCGGCATGGTATCTCAGTGGCACTATAAAACCAGCTTCAGTCTGGGCTAGTACAAGCAGCCGCACATACACATACACACGTATGCACGTCGTCATATGAGCGAAATATTCTCAAGTACGACGTTAAACCTAATTTCACCTCACCCCTTCTTTATAACTAATCAGAAAAAAGACCAATGCATCACTTCCGGGTTTTCTCCATCATCAAGCCGAAATACCGTGACATACCTGCAGTACTGTTCATGGGGCAGTTGAGCCCCAACTCACTCACTCACCAGTCTCCCCTTCCACCAAGACTATGCTACACCACGTGGTGCTCCTGCCCAGCCCTTGTCTATAGTTATAGACCGTTGTTAATTATACCTTGTGTCAGACTGAGGGTATCTACATTAACACCTGACACGACGTGGTATAACTGAAATAGTCTTCAGGCATTGTTAACCCAACTCACTCACTCACCCACCCAAACTTCGAGTGGAGCTACACATACTCAAGGGCCATGACAGGGTCAAATACTGTTAGTATGACAACATCTCCAAGAAATAAGTAAGGATATATAACCACTTGAACACTGAGGCTATTTACATTGAAAGTTGAGAAGTACAAGATCTACCCCAGTACTCCTACAATGAGTGAGTGAGTGAGTTAAAATGTGACGTCGCATTGTCGTAATACTAGATAAGACATTGTTATCTCGTGGAAAATTTGTTTAGCGTTAAGACCGGCAGTTATCTTTTGACATATACTGAGAGGAAAAAATAAGGGATCGCATAAAATTTCAGAATAAAATTTCAGATTTTAATCACGTCAAACATAACAGACTTGATTCATTGTTTTCGGTTTAAATAAAGATAGTCAGTATCGAGTATGTCCCCCATGTGCTCTCGCAACTGTCTGGGCATATTTCCAATCAAGTTAAGTCATTTAGATATCATTTTCAAAGATAGATGCGATCCTTTATTTTTTCCTTCAGTATATAATAATTATATGTTAGCCATTAAAGCTCCTATGTTGAGACATACCATTCCTTCATATTCAACAACAATACTATATATATACAACATACCTATACTTACTGATTCTAGTTCGGACAGCCGATGTGTGAAGAAGTACAGGCACAGCGTATTAAGAACAAATCCGGATACTGACTGGTTTTATGTACGTCGTGCGCAACCCCACCCTAAGACGTAACGTTACCGGTAAAGCGACCACTACTCCGCCATGAGAGGCCCCGTTCGGGGAGTGCTGTGTGTATTGGTGGGATTAGGGCACCGGTTATATCGATGCCAAATACCCGCCACCTAAAGACACAAGCCTGATCAGATATCACCTGCCATTGTGAAAGAGGTTTCATGCAGAACTGTAGGTGTCACAACTCGCCTTGATTGGCTTCGCCTGACGTGGTTGTGGAATAAGCTGTATGCTGGCCCAAGAATCCGTGATATCTTATATACGTGTGTATTGTCATATAAAATAAGTTGCTGTCAATGTATAGTACATGACTGACTGACTGAGTTTGGTTTTACGCCGCTATTAGCAATATTCCAGCAAAATCACGGCGGGGGACACCACAAATGGGCTTCACATATTGTACCCATGTGGGGAATTGAACCCGGGTCTTCAAGCGTGACGAGCGAACGCCTAACCCACCAGACTACCCCACCGCCCATAAAGTACATGAAGTAAACAGTTTTGTCCATGGGTCGTTTTAATGCCTAGGTATATCTATCTATCTATCTATCTCTATCTATTATCTATCTATCTATCTATCTATCTATCTATCTATCCAGCCTCTAAAAATGTTAACACGAGGAAAACAGTTACGGACAGATGAGACAAACATTTCTAACGGAAGATGCTATCCATAGCCTGTGGGGAATACAATCTAGGCCATCTATTAGACATTCCACAATGTGTTTGTCAAAATTTAAATCGACATTATTCAAAGCGTACTAAAGAATGGAGGTCGCCAGTGTGAAACTGGAGACGCTAAAGAAAGCCGCTTTCTGAACAGCCAAAGTCGATCTCTCGCCAGCTATAGCACTGGTCGTTCTGACGAGATCTGTAAATTGGTGAGTGAACGAGTATGGTTTTACGCCGCTTTCAGCAATATTCCAGCAATGTCGATTTGTAATGGGATGTCCTCAGATCTCTGCTGTGGTAACGAGAACTAAGTATGTTCCTGTATGCTGCTGGTATTGATGCTAGAGATGCGAATAGAGTGTTCCTTAACGTCTTTTGAATGGTATATTTTCGTCCGCTACGAGTAAATGGCAGCTTATTGTTGGAGAAAAGACCGAAGCTATGTTGGTCGGAGTCACATATCACTATGATTAAAGCATCAGGGCCAACTATTACAGGTTTCTTGCGTGCCCAAGGGACGCACCTCTGCGTACCAAAATGCAGCGAGACGAATGGATCCCCTATTTGAGGTTTAAACATGGTGGTCAAGAAAAAACTTTAACGTAAAGACGCGTGAACGTGAACGTGCACGCGCATGTGCGTGCATTTGACTACTGTTGGTTTAATGGTGTCAGCCCAATGAAGTATTCTGTAGCAGTAGTTTTAACATACCAGTGTACTGATTCCCTGTCACCGTGTACTAGTTATGTAGATCGATGCTCATGATGTCAATCACTGGATTGTTTACCATTCGATTATTTACACACCGCCGTCATACAGCTGGGCTGAGTGTGGCGTTAAACAACAAACAAAGAAACCTTATTCAAACTTGAGCAGTTCAAAGCTCTGTCCACCGACAAGGGCCGCGTTTCACAAAGCTATGGTAGCGCTACGACTCTCGTATCTCCCATATTGTAACATCAACTTACGACGCTCGTAGCGCTAAGATCGCTTTGTGAAACAGGGCCTAGATTTTCGAAGCTCTCTTAGCGCTACGATAGTCGTAAGTTAATGTTAATGAATGGCACTTACGACTATCTTTGCGCTAAGAGAGCTTCGGAAATCTAGGCCTTGGGGTCCGAAATGTTACAGAAGGAAGCAGTGAAATGTAACCGCGATATACCGGTGATAGACGGACCCGTGAAGATCCGGGCCAGAATTGATCTTAAGCAACCCATGTTTGTCGTAACAGACGACTAACTGGATCAATATCCTGGGCCCTTATTCTCGAAACGTTCGTAGCCCTAAGAATTCTTAACTTTGATCGTAGCCAATGTGTTAAGAATGGTCTTAAGAAGTTCTTAGATCTATGAACGTTTCGAGAATAGCTAGCCTGGTTGGGTTGATCGACTCTTAAGATGTCAATCACTTGATTGTCTACCAGTAACTAAAATTACTTTTATGCATCCCAACACTCCAACAGTCAGGATGGTCACCTTTCAGAAAACTTGTCACCAGATCTAGAAAAGATCGAGCCCGGTCTGCGGCATTTATAACAAACGCTTTTACCACTAGGCCATCCACCCGCCCCCTCCACAGAATTAACATGTGCTGTCCGAACAGATTCTTCCCCGAAACATTGTTTCAGATGATGTCATGGGCTCATCCAAACAAAATCGGACAATTGTTTGGATTAATTACACAAATCACTTGTCACCACAGTTGAACATTTCCAAACCGGAAAATTCCTCATCAAATAGGTATTGCCTATATAACTGCGACCGCCTCCGTGGTGTAGTGGTTAGAGCGTCCGCCCGGAGAGCGGAAGGTCGCGGGTTCGATCCCCGGCCGCGTCATACCAAAAGACGTAAAAATATGGTACTTATTGGTCCCTGCCTGGCGCTCGGCATTAATGGGTACAACAAGGACTGGTCGGCTCGGAGTCAGTATAATGTGTCTGAGTGGGGTATTCATGCTTCACTGCGGCATGGTATCTCAGTGGGCTAGCACTATAAAACCAGCTTAAGTCTGGGCTAGTACAAGCTGCCGCACATACACATACACACACATGCACGTCGTCATATGAGCGAAATATTCTCCAGCACGACGTTAAACCCAATTTCTTCTCACCTCACCTCACATATCTGCGCGTCATTTGCTGGTAACCACCTCTTGCACGTGCAAACCATGTTATTCCCATGCAAGTGTTTCCGGCATGAGAAACACGTGATTTCGCTGACAGCGCGTGGCCGTCTGCGTGGCGTTGTTATCAAATGCAATGGATACTTTTATCAACATGAGTGAGTGAGTGAGTTTAGTTTTACGCCGCACTCAGCAATATTCCAGCTATATGGCGGCGGTCTGTAAATAATCGAGTCTGGACCAGATAATCCAGTGATCAACAGCATGAGCATCGATCTGCGCAATTGGGAACCGATGACATGTGTCAACCAAGTCAGCGAAACTGACCACCCGATCCCGTTAGTCGCCTCTTACGACAAGATAGTCGCCTTTTTATGGCAAGCACATGGGTTGCTGAAGACCTATTCTACCCCGGATCTTCACGGGTCTTATCAACATGAACAGAGGAGCGCTCGAAATAGAAATAATTCATCCAACACAGACGGTATAAATTTCAACAAAATCTACACAAGTTGCGCAACAACGCTTTAATTGCATAAGGTAAGAGAGCTGTTCTTTACTGTTAAAATGCGATGACAATGTCAGGTTAATCACGGTCTTTGATGGGTATTTCAAGTTCGGTTCAACTGTGTAACCCTGAAACAAAAAAAAGGAAAGATTTCCGCCAGTAATCCCCGTTTTTTTCATCATTCAATGCCTAAGAACAGATGTTTTTTATCCCAAAATCTTAACACCATTACCCTAAACCTAACACCTAAAACCTCTAGATACCCCTGATCAGGTTGGGGAAACCTACCGGTCGGCCTATAATAGGCCAAACGGGATATAATAGGCCGTTCCGGCTATTTTGCTATAGGCCGAATGGCCTTTAATTATGATATTTATCAAATAAATTTAAAGTGGTGCTTTTCCGCATGAGGATATTAACGTTATTCAAGTTTTTAAGTCCTAATGTTCTCATTCAAACCCTTTTTGAGCATTTTCATCACATATTAAAGGAGTTTGGAAATAGCTTATTAAATATAAGTCTATAATAGTTTTGACAATTTTCACTGAAAATTAATGACATAGATATTCAGTTTTAGTTTTCAAAATGGAAATCTGTGAAAAATTGTGTTCTTAAATGAAATATCTTTTCCTGAACATTATATAAATTTCCATTTTGTCCAAAAACATATTTTGTTCAAGCTGAGGAGGTCTATTCATCTCTATGATCATATAAAACCATTTCGTGCGGAAATTGATAGTTTGTGACATAATAATGGTCAAATATAGCCCGATCGGCCTATAGCAAAATAGGCAGAACTGCCTATAATATCCCGTTCGGCCTTTTATAGGCCGATCAGTTGGTTTCCCCAATCTGCTGATAAATAGAATACATTTCAAGAGGGGATTACGGGCGGAACTCTTACCCCAAAAAATATGAACACAGTTTGCTAGTTGGTTGTTTTCCTGTAAAACTGAGATTTCCACCCTGTTGTGATTTTACACCACCATTAGTCAGATATTTGTAGGAGGGCGATGGGGTGGCCTTGTGTTTCAAGCGTGCGCTCGTCACGGAGACCCACATGGGTACGATGTGTGAAACAATGTCTCGTGTTACGGTGTCCCCCGCCGTGATATAGCATGAATATTGCTAAAAGCAGCATAATACAACACTCACTCACTCACATTTGTTGGGAGCTGAGATGTGGGTGTCGGGTGTGGTGGTGTAGTGCTTAAGCTGTCGATCTTCACGCCGAAGACGCTGTTGGATTCCCCACATTGATTGAAAGTGTGAAACCAAATTCTAATGTCTCCAGTCTGGATATTGCCAGAATACTGCATAAAGTTTTAAATCATACTGACTCATGTGCACTGTTTACTTAAATTCAAATGTTGATCAGCACGTTAAATTATCTGATGCTAATAATAAATTAAAACAATTGAGAAACAAAGGTAAAATTAGATTCCTGTCCACAAACGTCAAGTCATATTTTGAAAAGCAAATGAATACACATTCAGTGACTGTGGGTTCGAATCCCGGATGGGACTCGATCCCCGAAAGTAGTAGAATCTGTACTTTACTAAGAAAGTGTAATTCCAAATACACCACATGTCACGCTGAAAGGTCCAAATCATTTCCGGCAACATCGTCAGCTCAAAGTAGAAGGCGAGGCCCTTCATCTGCTGAATTCAGTTGAATTTTTTAATATCGTTTCTTGAATTTTAGAAAGAATACCCCCACATGGGCACAGTGTGTTAAGCCCATTTCTGGTGTCCCCCGCCGTGATAGTGCTGGAAAATTGCTAAAAGCGGCGTAAAACTAAACTCAGTCAGTCAGTTAGAAAGAATACAATGGCCCTAATGGGCTTCCGTACCTCCCCATAGCAGCTAATTTGACTTACTATCAGTAACAATGTGTTTCGTTATGTATTTACGCCAGGTTATATCTTTAATCCGTTTATCTGATATAAGCTGATGTCAACTGCTTGGGTGTCAACATTAAACCAGGGGAAGGGGGGCCGTTTGTTTAAGGTCCTACGAACAGATGAGCCTTGTTATACAGCCTTATATTCAGACCACAGATTTACACTGATTATGCCTATGTGGGCGGTGTGATAGCCTAGTGGTTAAAGCGTTCGCTTGTCACCCCGAAGACCCGGTTTCGATTCCCCACATGGGTACAATGTGTGAAGCCCATTTCTAGTGTGACATTGCTGGAATATTGCTAAAAGTAGCGTTAAACATCCTTACTCACTCCCTCACTATTGTTTATAGGTTTGTCAGCCCCACCTATGCCCATGGGTTTCCCATAGAGGGTGGGGTCTGAGTCCTGCATCACTTTTGGCCTGTCTCCCACATTTAATTGTCTCGCAGTGATAAAACTGAAATACGTTTCAGAGCAGCATACATTCAACCTATGAGACTGAGGTATTATTTGACAAATTACACCGAATATCCGCTATCAACATGCATACGTGTGTATATTTTAGTTTTTACCAACTGCCAAGTCATATGTCGTATTGCCCGAGGAAAGAGTTAATCCTCTTTGAATTAACAAAATTTCAAAACCATTAACAATCGCATAGCAAATGTCAAGTGGAAGTCAAAATATCGAGCTGTACGTCAAGATGAGCACAAGATTATGTACTTTAAGTATGGTTGCACTGACGCAAGCAGGGCATTTTGTGTTTGGTTCTTTCCTTTATATTATTGTTTTACGCCGCACTCCAGACAATGCAGTGATTGACATGAGCATCGGTCTAAGCAACTGGGATATGAATCATATCATATGATGTGTCAGCGACTGGGATATAAATCATATCATATAATGTGTCAGCAACTGGGATATAAATCATATCATATGATGAGTCAGCAACTGGGATATGAATCATATCATATGATGTGTCAGCGAACCTGACCACCCGATCCTGTTAGTCGCCTCTTAAGACAAGCATGGGATGCTAAAGATAGATTCTAACCTGGATCTTGTTGATAAGAGGTAGAATTTATGCATCGTTATGGTGTTATATCATCCTCATCAAGGAAGTGGTGGGGTAGCCCCGTGGTTAAAGCGTTCGCTCGTCACGCCGAAGGCCCCGGGTTCGAGTCTCCACATCGGTACAATGTGTTGAGCCCATTTCTGATTGGGGTGCCTAGTGGGTAAAGCGTGCGCTCGTAAGACCGAAAACACGGGTTCAAATCCCCATGTGGGTACATTTGTGTAGCTCATTCTTGGTGTCCCCCGTTGTGATATTGTTTAAAAAACATATTCACTATACGTTACACAGTAAGCCTTGTATGGTTGATGGTTCCATGCGGGTGTGTGCGTGCACGCGCGCAAATGCATGCGTGTGTATGTCAACATTATTATGAGATAAGGACAGCACATAGACAGTTGAATGGAAGGAATAAACCATCAAACAAATATTGATCATATACTCAACACGAAAACTTAGGGATCACGAATATTTGGTGGGATATTTTTTTAATGAAGGCTGATCACTGACATCTGGCAGCTTATAAAAGTAGTTTCGTTCTTCAAAAATAAGTTTTGTTTCCATTTCTGTTGTAAGTCTAATCTGTGACACCCTCACACAGTGGCACATCTGATGAATCAATCTGATTTGGTCGTTAACGTGTGATAACTCGAACTGACATAACGGAAGTTGACTTTAATAGAATAATCCTTGCAGTTGTCTGGTCCATGGGTTTTTGGAATAGCAATACTGATCATCCTGGTGCGGCTCTATCATTCTACTTCACATTTCAAGATTTGATCACGAATTCAGTAGGAGCTGTTACGATACAACTGACAACTGGATATATCATGAAGGCTTCTCAGTTAGTTTAGTGACATTCTAGTTGTGTAGCTTTGGAAATATCTCTATCATGGTATGTTGTGCGAGGCAATTATTCTGGTATATGGAGGAAAATGTGACATTTATTATTCATTACTTCTTCCTTCCTGTCATATCAAGTTGTGTAAGGCCGTGACGTAATACGCTTTATGTTGCAGACGACACTCGTTTTCCGTGTGATTTCTATTTAAGAGAGCGAGATGTTTATCTCGGTATATGTAAAAAAGTTCGCATTATTTTTGCCTTCCTGTCAGATCCAGATTACGTAACAGGCTTTAGACTGAATCTGGACGCGGACCCGTGAAGGGGCCAGTCCACCATTTATTACATTTAACAGCAGTTCAAACATCACTGATTGTAATCACCTGAAGCGTTGAATATTGTGTTTTTATTTTGGCTCTAGATTTGTTCCATGGGCGGTCGAGATCTTATATTGAAATCTGGATTATTTCACTGACTGGTCTTCTGTCGAACTAAACGAGTAACCGTGCCAAGCTTATTGCCTTATATTTTCTGTCTATACTGTACGTATAGTAATGTAACAAAACAACGACTATCTAATACGAAGTGTGGCAATACAGCGAATATGTAATACAAAGTCTGGCAATACAGCAAATATCTAATACGAAATCTAGCAATACAGCGAATATGTAATACGAAGTGTAGCAATACAGCGAATATGTAATGCGAAGTGTGGCAATACAGCGAATATGTAATAGGAAGTGAGGCAATACAGCGATTATGTAATACGAAGTGTAGCAATGCGACGATTATGTAATACGAAGTGTAGCAATACAGCGCTTGTGTAATACGAAGTGTAGCAATACAGCGATTGTACAATACAAAGTGTGGCAATACAGGGAATATGTAATACGAAGTGAGGCAATACAGCGAATATGTAATACGAAGTGAGGCAATACAACGAATATGTAATACGAAGTCTGGAATACAGCGAATATGTAAAACTAAGTGTAGCAATACAGCGAATAGGCCTATGTAATACAGGGTTTAGCAATACAGCGAATATGTAATACGAAGTGTAGCAATACAACGAATATGTAATACAAAGTGTAGCGATACAGCAAATATGTAATACAAAGTGAAGCAATACAACGAATATGTAATACGAAGTGTGGCAATACAGCGAATATGTAATACGAAGTGAGGCAATACAGCGAATATGTAATACGAAGTCTGGAATACAGCGAATATGTAAAACTAAGTGTAGCAATACAGCGAATAGGCCTATGTAATACAAGGTGTAGCAATACAGCGAATATGTAATACGAAGTGTAGCGATACAGCGAATATGTAATACAAAGTGAAGCAATACAACGAATATGTAATACGAAGTGTAGCGATACAGCGAATATGTAATACAAAGTGAAGCAATACAACGAATATGTAATAGGAAGTGTAGCGATACAGCAAATATGTAATACAAAGTGAAGCAATACAACGAATATGTAATACGAAGTGTGGCAATACAGCGAATATGTAATACGAAGTGAGGCAATACAGCGAATATGTAATACGAAGTCTGGAATACAGCGAATATGTAATACAAAGTGTAGCGATACAGCGAATATGTAATACAAAGTGAAGCAATACAACGAATATGTAATACGAAGTGTGGCAATACAGCGAATATGTAATACGAAGTCTGGAATACAGCGAATATGTAATACGAAGTCTGGCAATACAGCGAATATGTAATACGAAGTCTGGCTATACTGCGAATATATAATATGAAGTGAGGCAATACAACGAATATGTAATACGAAGTGAGGCAATACAGCGAATATGTAATACGAAGTCTGGAATACAGCGAATATGTAAAACTAAGTGTAGCAATACAGCGAATAGGCCTTTTATACAAGGTGTAGCAATACAGCGAATATGTAATACGAAGTGTAGCGATACAGCGAATATGTAATACAAAGTGTGGCAATACAACGAATATGTAGTGTGCACTGGAAGAAGCACATCTTTGTTAGCAGCTACGAACTGCTAGGTGCAGTAACAAAGACAGCCTTTCCGCCCCTGGAGACTAACATTTACTGTTACTTCCAGCTAACAGTAACTACATGAAATGTATGGCAAACCGGTGGTTAATATCATCAGCAACCATATACGCCATCGGAGTTCCAGATGACCCGCAATCAAACAAGTCACCGAGTCTTAAGCCGACCCGATCCCAGTAATCAGACATGCCGACCCGATCCCAGTAGTCAGACATATGTTTGACAAGTTAAAAGGCATACAATGCATAATTATAATCCGATTCCCGTGATCCAAGTTGTCGCCTCCCACTCCTAATTGTAATCCAGGCGCCCACGGAGAACAGACATGTCGTCCAAATGCGAAATTTACTAATCTCCTTAGATTTAGTATACACGATACTGATTCTCAAACGTTGAGTATTATTAAATAGAATGACACATCTGATCATCCCTATCAAAAGTTGCTCAAGGAGTATGTTACAGTTAGCCCCACAACTCCGCAGCAACACACTGATGTGGTTTGATGTGAACAATCCGATACCTTTAACCATTGTTTCTTTTATAGGCATTGTTTCACGATTCAATTACGAACTCAAAAAACAAACTTCAAACGCGTAGAAATAACCTGCAGCGTCGACGCCAGATCGACGGGTCTGTGCAAGTGTTATTTTTGTGACATTGTAAACAGTTTAAAAAGTCATCCTACCTGCTGCTGGTAAATTATCCAGTTTGTGTCCTCAACCAGTTCGAAATTTACTGCTTGCTTGTAGTAATCCACAGAACCCAAGTGTCCTTTAGGCTGTACCACCGTTTGAACACGCCGAAAGAGCGCAGAGACAGCACAACCACTCGCGTTGCGGACGTGTTTGTTTCTGAGTGACCGTATCGATTACCACCGTCTCCGGTTGGTTGATTGCCATACATAATCCGGCGACGTTTGCGGGAAGAAAATCCATTTTTTCTTTGATCTTGGCAATGTAACCGAAAAATTACATATCAAAGTATATAAGTGGCATTGTAGTGCGATATAATTGCAGTGTGACCTCTATCAGTGCGCATGGCGTGAATGATGCCGATTGACGTCTAGTGATTTTGCCTGATGTTGCGTTATATTCTGATGTAAGTGCTGTAGGTGGTTATACCACATTGTTAACAGCACAGAGAGTCGGCGAGATTTTATGAGAATCTGAGAGAACATTGACCTTAGGAGGATTAAAAGTGTCAGGACGTTTTATGTATACGTGGATCTAAGATCAGATAATCATAACAGAGTACACAAAGTTATAAACGTAAGCGCACATCGACCATCCTCGAATTGATAGCATAACTCTAAAGGTGTGTACTATAAGATTTTTAGGAAGATACAGGTTTTGAGAAATACATTCATCTACCTAAAAGTCTATCACCCAATCTTGAAATTTAAAACCACAACTTACAATGTGTGAAGCCCATTTCTGGTGTCCCCCGCCGTGATATAGCTGGAATATTGCTAAAAGCAGCGTAAAACTAAACTCACTCACTCATTCACTCACTAGAACCACAACTTACCGATTGACACCGGACGCTGGTCTGACATCCCAAGAGTAGATTGCTAGTTTATGTAGTTCTTCCGCGGTTGGTGACCAGTTTCACTACTTTTTCAGGTGTGAAGCCCTTCTCCAGTCGCTGTCTCTTTTCAATATTTTCATACATAAAGATCTCTACGGATGGCCTATTATGTATAAGCTGAAGAAATGGTTATCCACTACTAAAGCAAAAGATGTGAAAACATGTCTGAATTCATCAATACCATCTTCAGAATTCATGTTAACCTAATTCTGTCATATTTCATTGACACTCTCACTCACTGTATGTATTTGCCCAATACCCCTGTCAGCTTGATTTGGTATTATATGTGAATTTATATTGCACCTTTTTCTCATGTACCACCGTTGGTGTTTATTCTGAAACTGATAGACGTGCTAAAGTTAGTGTTTCAAAACGGCGTAAGCGCGTACCACAGGAGGAACCAGTACTATGCAGCGACTGGGCAAGCTGGCAATGGTGCTACTGTGACTAATGTAATCTGTGCGAAACACACCAGCTGGTAATAATAGAAGCTGACAAGTGAATGCTTCTCCGACTTCGCTGCTAATATGTGACGTAACAGTAATGCAGTGTAATCTGGTAATAATGGGAGTAAGGCGCCGTGTACAAATGGCAGTTTTATAATCACGGTCAATACCTAAAGACACAGATCATATACGCTACGGGGTACCTGCTAAAGGCAATATCTTTCAGGAGTACTTGTAAACGTTTAAAGACCGCCTCCGTGGTGTAGTGGTTAGAGCGTTCGCCCGGAGAGCGGAAGGTCGCGGGTTCGATCCCCGACCGCGTCATACCAAAAGACGTTAAAATATGGTACTTGTTGGTCCCTGCCTGGCGCTCGGCATTAATGGGTACAACTGGTCGGCTGGAGTAAGTATAATGTGTCTGAGTGGGGTATTCATGCTTCACTGCGGCATGGTATCTCAGTGGGCTAGCACTATAAAACCAGCTTCAGTCTGGGCTAGTACAGGCAGCCGCACATACGCATACACACGCATTCACGTCGTCATATGAGCGAAATATTCTCAAGCACGACGTTAAACCCAATTTCACCTCACCTCACCTGTAAACTTTTAAACACAAGTCAGCTATTTTGGTTGACCAGACCTGACCTTCCCAGAGACCTTATGGTTCAAGAGAACTGTTTCTGTTTTTGTGGAGCAATTACACAGTATGTGCGCGCATCATGTGTTATGCAGAAACATTATTTTTTATGGATCGACAACTTCTGTATTGTAATACATGCGACGTTTCCGTGAAGATGTTAGCAAGTGCTTAATAACGGAGTTAGCATCTACAGCGAAACGTCGCATCTGTTGCAATAAAACAGTTGTCTATCCATTAAAATAATGTTCCTCTTCATCATATCAACTTCTAAATGACACGTAAAGGAGAAATATGTTATAGGGCTTAACACTTTCTAAAAGGCATTGTGTATTCGTACATGCTATTTAATTTATAATGAAACAAAATATTACCAAACTGTTCTCATATCTGCAAAACAATTAAAACTCTTCCATAATTATAAACAATAAATAATAATAATAATAATTAATTTATATAGCGCCTATTTCCAAACTTTCAGCTGCTGAACAGGGTAGAGAATTTACATATCATATGCTTGTTGAAACAAGAAAGTTTTGAGACAGGATGTGTAAGAGCTTGCTGTTTTATGTTCAAACGATAGTTTGTTCCACAGAAGGCACGATCAGCAAGTTTAGTAGATGTTGAGGGAACCGAGATTGTACATATTCTGAGATCGGAGATATCGTCCTGGTGTATACATCTGGCTCAGATCCTTTAGGTGGAGAAGGGAGTTATCTTTGTGCAGAGCAGCATATGTCAGTGACAGGACTTTGTACACCACCCTTTGCTGGACTGGGAGCCATTGTTACCTTTTTAGAACAGGTGTGATATGCTTATGGGGTCTGGTCCTTGTAACAATGCGAGCTGCCTTGTTCTGGATCCTCTGCAGAAGGGGGATAGAACTAGATCCAACCAACAACGCATTGCAATAATCCAACCTTGAGGTCACGTAGGCATGGACGAGGAGTTTGCTGGTCTCAAGGTCAAGATACTTTCTTATTTTGCCAATGCTTGCAAGATGGAAGATTGATGTTCTGGAGATATTTAGGGCATGGATCTCTGGAGAAAGATTTTGATAAAAAATTATTCCTAAGTTTTTTACTTGCTTCGCTGTGGAAAAACAGTACCCTCCTGCATCAATGGTAAAGTTATCAAGTTTGCGAAGCTGTTGTTTGGTGCCAATAACAATGAATTCTGCTTTGTTGTTATTAAACTTTAGTTGGTTAGCTGTCATCCACTTTTGAACGTCTTTTATGTACCGTTCCACAGTTGGAATGGCTTCACATATTGCTCCTGGCTTAACTGCAATATAAATTGATTGTTATCTGCATAGCAGTTTCCTAAGGATATTCCCTAGAGGAGTGGTGTATATGGAGAATAGGACCGGACCATGGACAGAACCTTGAGGGACTCCATGTCATAGTCTGTGGGATACTGACTTAACACTATCTACTGTAACACTCATAGATCTGTTTCAGGATATGATTTAAACCAGACAAGAGCTGGACCATGTTATAATCTGGATAACAAGAGTGCATGGTTTATTGAATCAAATGCTGCCGAGAGGTCGAAATACAGCACGAGCAGCACTACTTCCTGTTCGTCCATCGATCTTAGAATGTCATTTTGTACTCTCACCAGGGCAGTCTCTGTACTGTGGCATTTTGTATGCCGAGTGGAAAGGCTCTGTCAAGCTATGTCGAGTCATGTGGTCATTCAGTTTGGAGAGTATCACCTTTTCCAATACCTTTGATAAGAAGGGCAAGTTGGACACTGGGCGATAATTTTGCAACACCAAAGGATCAAGAGATGGCTTCTTGAGTAGCGGTATGATTAATGCCTGTTTGAAGCAACTGGGGGCAGTACTTGTAGTGATAAAAGCGTTAAAGAATATGATTTGCAGGGTGCAGCGTTAATAACTTTAGTTACCTCCGCGGGATCTGTGCAATTTAAGTTCTTTAATGTATCTCCACAAAATGGTGAATCAAAACTAAGTGGATTGCTTAGCGTCTCTGGCATACCGGATACTTCATCCACTATTTTGTCTACTTTGTCAATGAAGAAATCAGCAAGAGCATTTGACATCGAGGTGGGCTCATCAATTGTTCTTGTGTTCTGGGTAGCGGCTTTTTGATCAGTAAGCTTCTTAACTGTTGCCATTAACTATTTGGAGTATTCTTGTTCTGACTGATAGTATTCCGAATGTCAGTGACCTTGGCTGATCAAACAAGAACATTCACTCTATTTCTAGAGTGTTGGTAGATCTGGTGTGCACTTCCAGCCTAGGCGATCGCCATGTTTTCTCCGCTCGACGCCGCTCATGTTTGGCTTAACAAGAAATCATATCCAGGGTTCCACTGATGTTTTGGGTGATCGCGGATTTACTCAAGTTTCCTTTGGTCTTTTTCCAGTGTATACGTATTTTGGCTACAATTATATATCAGGAAACAATTTGTACCTTTAGTCATTTGTCCATTGTATAATGATAAATACCTTCATGTATAATGATAAATACCTTCATGCGTAAGAGCAGAGTCTCTTGGATGGTGAGGACGCGTTCATGTGAGGACAGTTTGTCAAAACGACACTTAAAAAGTTTTTCAGGAGGGAAAAAGTTTGTAAATCTGGCTGTAGTTCATCCCGAGCGCCACTGATGTGTTAATTGACCATTGGGCGTACATTTTATGTAATGTGACCAAAATGAGCACCTGTAGGATCCGAGTTGTGTCCCAGAAATATATGCTCCTGGATTCGAATTCTGATTCAACCTGGGTTTCTGTGGAGTGGAAAACGGCTACGATCTGCATTACTTCCTGGTGTCCCCCCACATTAAACATTCATGACGTGATATTCTGAAAACGATTGAAAGTAGTTTCGAAAGCATGCATACTCTCTTGATCATAAAGATTTGGTGAAATTACCAAGACGTTAAAGAATACCCGATACCTTTGTAGTACTAAAGTCGTTATGTAATGGCCTTTGCTGCATTAACTACTGTCGTAAAACATGAAAGAATGGAGGAGTAGTTTTTGTTATGGATGTCAACTTCTTTATTATGAGGAACACAAGATTTCGGAGTATATCCTTACCCCTTCATCTGACGACTGAGTAAGGATATACTCCGAAACGTTGTGTTCCTCATAATAAAGAAGTTGACACCCATAAAAAACTCTC